CCGTAAATCCGTAAATCTTTAACCACCCAATCCAAAACCCTATCCAAACTCATTCTCATCCTTCTCTCCCATATGTCTATGACCTTATTCCCCTCAAATAACCCCTTAAAACCCTAAAAATTATCAAAATTTCACACTCAAAATCCCATCCGAACACAATAAATCCCTCAAACAACCCAAATCTCACCCTATCCCACCCGTTATCTCGTCCCAAATCTCCACTAAATACGTCGTCCAATTCAATGCTGACTGCTTGCTTCCATGCCATCGCCTCACCACTTAATGAATCCACTTTTCCCTTAATCTTACCCATCTTCTATTCATTCCTACCCAAATCTTACCCATCTTCTATTCATTCCTACCCAAATCTTACCCATCTTCTATTCATTCCTACCCAAATCCACGTACATCTATACAAATCACCACCTATTTAAACACATTTAACCCCAAAAACTTTAAAAATTTCCCGATTTTACTCAAAATTTTTCCATTTCTACTAAAAATTTACACATTCCAGCCAATTTTCCACATTTTCACACCAATTTTTCAGCATTTTCAGTACATTTTCTTGTATTTTCCAATCGAAAAATCAAAAATTTCTAGATATTCAAGCGGATCGAGTGTATACGAATGCCGCAGATCAATCACAAACACCATCAATCCAGTCATATACCCAATGAAGAATGTGATTCATAAACCCACTCAATTGCCAACCACCCGCTACCATCACCACTATATTTAACACCACATCACTATAACTCTAATATCATACCGTAATCTCATCATACCGTAATCATCACATACCCAACAATAATACCGTAATCATACCGTAATCCCAAATCACCATAACTAATAACAAACGATACCGTAATCCCATCCATTCATCACTATAACTAATATATCATACCGTAATCCCAGCACTGCTATCCGAACACCCAATCCAATAGCGTTTCTAACAAAACAGCAGTTGCAGTTGTATCGTCAGCCATTCCGGCAATTACCGTATCACCTTATCAGTCATACCCTTACAGATCACTTAACCTAATCCTAATCTTAATCCTGATCACCCCTGATCCCAAATCCCTGATCTACCCCACCTCCATGATCAACTACTAACCATCTGTTGTTCAACTCGCCAAATCCCAATCAAAAAATCACCCTTTCATTAAATTTTTC